TGCGGTGGAAGAGAGGGACTCTGTCGGGGTGGAAGGGGGAGTGTATAGGACGCAGGGTGAGGGAAGGAGGAGCGACGATGAGGAGGCAGGTGGAGGAGGAGAGGCGCTCAGGTCAGGCCCTCCTCGCTGCTGCCACGGCCGGGGGGGGGCAGCCTGGCATATCAGATGGGACTGCGCTGTCCAGGAGACTCGCGGAGCGATCCGCAGCAGAGGAGAACGAGCAGGGAGGAGGCGGGTGACCGGGGAGGGTTCTCCACCCACCTCCAAGGTGTGAGCGGGCCGCATGTTGGCGGGCCGTGGGGTGTTTGGAGCGCGCGGCATTGACGCGCGTTTCCGCTGGCATGAATGAATGAATGAGGGCTTTGCGTTTTGCCCCCCCCCTCTCCCCCCGCGCGGCCGCTCTCGTCTCTCGCCCCCCCTCTCGTACGCCGGCCATCTCGCCTGTCGCTTGCCCCGAGCAGCCACGCGCCGGCGCGGACTGCCGCTGCCTCTCCTGCGGGCGAAGAAGCTCGGAGGTCTGCGGATGCTCTCGTGGAGGTCAGGCTTGCGGGTGCGCGGAGGATGCTGATGGTTGTCGTCTCCCTTTCAAGCCTCTTGTGGATGCCATGACCATGGACACTCCTCACAATCCTACCATTGACGTGAACACGTATTTCAAGATGTACATCGTGTTCCAAATCATGTTTCAAAGATGTTGCTAACATGCTTAAAGCACGTTTAACACGCTGTAGGCATCTGGAAATGATTCGGCAGCATGACTCCTCTCCGCTGGTCGTGTTCAGGCGAGGCTGGCGGGAGGCGCCCTGGCGGCGCTGTACGTCTTGGGGGCCCTGAGAGACACGAGGACACATTGCAGACACGCAAATCGTCGAAGGTCCGCGCGGCTTTCTCGGGGGTCGGCGCCACGGAGGGGGCCTCGGGCACGATCCAAGACCTCCTCCGCGCGGACCTCGTGAGGTATTCCCCGACCAGTGCTTTCCCTTTGGGGTTCTCACTTGTCTCCTAAGGTACTCCAGATTTAGTAATAAAGGGAGGGGGGTCTCATTTCGGGGGGGGGTCTCTTCCAGGCTATCTTGGAGGGCCTGGGGGGTCTGGGGACGATGTTTTGGAGGGTTCTCCCACGGGGGAGGTCTGAAATGGCTTGTCTTGGAGGGTCCAGACCCCCTCCCTTTTATTACGAAATCTGGAGCAGCTGTACCTGAGTGGCGGCCTGGGCGGCATGTGAGCGGCCTGGCGCCGCCGCTGTCGCCACACAGTGTTTGTTGCACGTAGGGGTTCGTATTTGTCTTCTGAGGCACAGTCAGCCCGCACAGTAGAGATGCGGCAGCCTTCCCAAGGGTACCCTTACATCCTTGCCTCCTCGGTCCATCCTTGACCGCTTTCGCTGGCCGCGCCCCGCTCGAGAAGTTTCGAACAGGTCGTCCCAGGCTTTGTGGGCCCCGGAAACGGCAGGGCCGTTTTTTCACCGTTTCCAAAAAATGTCCATTGAAAATGGAAACGGCAAAAAAACGGCGACCGGAAACGGCAAAAAAACTGCTCCAGGATCGGAACTGGAGCCGGAACCGGTCAAAAAACGGCGACGGAACCGGTAAAAAAACGAGCAACAACACGGCAAAACGGAACCGGTAAAAAAACGGCCCTGTCGCTTCCAGGGCCCACTAAGGTCCCAGGCCTTTGCATCCTTATCGCGCATCCTTATGACACGGGCCGACTGTAAGTGAGCCTGAGTGGCGCCAGGGCGGCATGTGAGCGGCCTGGCGCCGCCGCCGTCGCCGCGCATTTCGTGGCATCGCTTGCGTTGCACGCTTTGCTTCGCATTGCTCTGCATCGCTTTGCATTGCTCTGCATCGTTTTGCATTGTTTTTTCGGTGGCTGCACCTGGAAGAGAATATGGTCTACCATTCTTCCCCCCCAGACTTGTGGGCACCCTCTGGGACAGCGCAACTTACATATGGTCCTGGTTCGCCGATCGATTTCCATCTGACATCGTTTCTTCCAGCCAATCTTGCTATCCCCCCCCGTCCATCCTTGCCAGATCATGCTATGAGCGCGCACTTGTTGTTCGCAAAAGGGCATTTCTCAATAATTCCGTGCGACAGATGACACAACGCCCACACGAGCGCGCACATGTCGAAGTGGCACCATCCGCGCAAGTTCTGCAAGGAAGTCAACAAAAACGTGATAACCCACAACGTAGGTCTATCAAAACAAATATTGCAAAGTTTGTGCGCGCGTTTTCCCGAAACTGATAGGACCCTCTACGGGTGATAAGGAGCTTGGGGGGAGAAGGGGGAGGCGGTCGATTTGCGATGGCTCTGGGTTCTGTGGTGGTTGCTTCACCTTCTTTACCGCGCACATCTGCCCATCGATCTATCAACCTTTATATCCATCTATATATATATATCGATATATATGTCGATATATCAGTATATCAGTCAACACGTCAACCAACATCTACATATATGTATGTATGTATGTGTATACATATGTGTATGTATCATTATGTCTTCATTATTCACGCTTACAGGTAGGTGCATGCATATATGTATGTTTCTATCTTCTCGCTTACATGCATGTACCATGTCTCACTATGTATACATATACGCATGTATATACACATGTATATATGTATATATCGCTATATATATGCACCTCTATCTATTTCTTCATAATTTATCTATATATTATGTGTGCGGCGACCTCGTTCTATATGTTTGTGTATATGTCTCTCTCTCTCTCTCTCTCTCTCTCTCTCTATATATATATATCCGTAAGGGCTTCGCCCCCTGCCGCCGGCCCCCTCTCTCGGAGAATGGGCCATGGAAGAACTAAGTCATGAGGCCTTGGCGCTGGCGTGAAGCAGTATCGAAACTTCACGCGAAGCCGATTCGCAATCAGCTAAACCAACTGATCACAAGAGGGGTTACCACACCTGGCGATAGGTAAGACGTGTATGGTTTACGAGCTTGGTTACCACACCTTGCGATTAAAGGGCCGAGGGAGTTCTCGCAGTTTGGGTTACCACGCCTTGCGATGGATGTGCGTGAAGGGTGGCACCGTTTTTCAGAAATGCAAATCCCTTGTGTTTTTGGACCCTGACCCCGCGGATCTGCGCACCGAATTTCAGTGGACAAATCAGAATGTGTTTTGTGTTTCCCCGCCCCGCGGATCTGCGTGAGGGGTGGCACCGAATTTCAGAAATGTGGCAAATCCCGTGTTTTTGGACCCTGACCCCGCCCTGGCGGATCTGCGTGAGGGGTGGCACCGAATTTCAGAAATGTGGCAAATCCCATGTGTTTTTGGACCCTGACCCCGCGGATCTGCGTGAGGGGTGGCACCGAATTTCAGAAATGTGGCAAATCCCCTGTGTTTTTGGACCCTGACCCCGCGGATCTGCGTGAGGGGTGGCACCGAATTTCAGAAATGTGGCAAATCCCTGTGTTTTTGGACCCTGACCCCGCGGATCTG